CACGCTACACCGCGTCACACCACATCACACGCGCGCACACACAGACACACACGCACGCACGCACGCACGCACACACACACACACACACACACACACACACACACACACACACACACGCACACACACACAGACACACACACACACACACCACCACCGCCACCACCACCACCGCCATCACGCACGTACGCACCTGGCCCACCACCAAACCACCAAGACGCCACACCACGTCACACCACAGCACACGCGCATACACGCACACACACACACATACACACCACCACCACAACAACCACAACCACGCACACACGCACGCACGCACGCGCACCACCACCCACCACGCACACGCGCGCGGAGCCACAGGTCCGCTACGACACGCGTCCGCGGATAGAGAAAATCAGCGCCATGGTAAGGGATGGGAGGGAGGGATAGGATGTCAGATGTTGACGCGGGCGCACCTAACTTGTCCTCCTCCCCCTCCTCATCCTCCTCCTCCGCCTCGTCCTCCTCCCCTTCCTCCTTCTCTGCCTCCCCCTCCTCATCCCCCTCCTCCGCCTCCTCCCCATCATCCCCCTCCTCCTTCTTTTCCTCTCCTCCTTCCTCCTCCTGCTCCTCCTCCTCCTTCTCCTCCTCCTCCCTGTCCCAGGAAAGATATCACAGGGTGGGGGGCCTGGGGTGGGCGAGCAGGTGAATGAGGGAGTCAGTATGGGGAACGATCAAGGACATAAACATACAAAACTCGGAGGTCCGCGCGATTTGTTTAGGACCCGCGCTGGACGCTCCTCCCTGGCGCACGGGGCGCGCCAGAGGCGGCGCCAGATGCGCCGCCAGGGGGCTCCAGCGCGGATCCTAAAAATCTTCGCGGATCTCCGATTTGTTATGTTTATGCAATGTGTTATGTCATTGTTCGTCCCCATAGAGTCACAAAAAAAGATCTACAGTCAACCTCCTTCCCAAGGGTACCCTCGCATCCTTACCTCCTCGGCTCATCTTTGGCCACTTTCGTTGGCCGCGCCCCGCTCGCAAGGTGTCGGCACGGCCTTTTGAGGCCCTTGCATCTTGACCGTGCGTTCTTGTGATCTTGGCCGACCGTACCGACGCCCGTATACCTCACCCTCGTCCCCAGCTTTCTGGGATAGGGCGACGAGATCTATGCATATCCACTGCTCCTGGCCAGGCCAATCCTGGGCCCAGGAGCGGTGTATACGCCCTCCTGGCCTGGCCAGGGAGGCATATACACAGCTCCTGGGCCCAGGATGGGCCTGGCCACGAGCAGTGGATATGTATAGATCTCGTCGCCCTATGGGACGTCCCAGGGGCGGATCCCCTGGACATCGGCTGAGGGCCGCTCGCGAGAGCCGGCGGAGAGAGAGGGAGGGGGAGGGCGGGAGCCTTGAGACGGGGGTCAATATCAGAGCCCCGAATCATCAGGGGTAACTCGGGTCAGGGATAACTCGGGTTCGTTTTTCGGGAATCCAAGCCCGAGTTACCCCGGACCCGAGTTACCCCGGATAACTCGGGCGCCCAACAATACAGACGGGGGTCAGCCAGGGCGCCAGATCCTGCAGGATCCTGCGAAGACCCCCTCTGGCTGACCCGGGTTGGGGAGCCGCTCGTGGCCGCGAGGCGGGCGCGCCTATCGGCTGACCCGGGTTTGCGAGGAACTGCGTTGCGGTTTTTTGTTCCTGCGTTGCAGTTTTTGGTTTCCTGCTGACCCGGGTCTGGATTGACCTGGGTCAGAAGATCCCCGAGGGGGAGGGCGGGAGGGAGTGAGGGAGCGAGTGGCGAAGTGAGGGATCGAGGCAGGTCTGCCACGGCGAACGAGTCGGCGGGCCCCGCCCCTTCCTACCCTGCCTCCCATAACGACGAACCAACAACACACACCCATTGTTTTTTTTATTATTATTTTTTTTGACAAAAAAATAGACACACCCACACCCATAGTAGGGGTGTCGGAGAGGGCCATAGGTGCGTGTTGTCGGATGGAGGTTCCCGCTCGAACGGGAGCGTTCCCCAGGGTCCGACAACCCGCACCCATACCCATGGCCAGTCCTTCTCCCATCGACCCCCCTATGGGTATGGGTGTGTGTTGTTCGTTCGTCACATAACATATGAATCAAGTGTGGGACAATCTGACATTGGGCTGGGCCCGCGTTCCCCTCTAGCGAACGGAAGGCGCTCGCGCGCGGTCTTTTTTTGCCGACGATTTGGCGAGGGGGAAGCTACGCGAGCCGCGCAGAGGCGGGAGCCGCAAGCCTTCTGATGAGCGCTGTGGAGGCGAAGCATGCGCAGCTTACCAGCTTCGAACGTATCCCTATCCCTAAGGCTGACACGCCAAAAGGCGATGACAATCTTAGGGATTCGCCCTCAAAAAATAAGGGAATCCCTAAGATTGGCATCGTGATGAGGAGGTGCCCAGCATAGGGATAGGGATGTGTTCCAGGCTGGTAAGCAGCGCCGAAGCAGCGCTGGCTCCTTCAAACACAAACTGCGCGGCGCTTCGTTGAGGACAGCATTTCGCCCGCCCTTGCACGGCCCCGCTGCCGATGCTGCTTTCATCCTGACATCGCTCGGGCGTGTGCATTTTTCCTGCGGCGAGGACCATCGAGGAGCATCCTTGACCATTTGGCGGACAAAAAAAAAACACGCACGAAACCAAACAAAAACACAGGGAATGGACGTCCGAGCGATGGCCAGTCACGCGGTTTGGTGAGCGAGGCATGCGCCGCGCCCGCACGGAAGCGCGGCAGCGCACTTTTGTCTAAAGGCGTGGAGTGTAGGCGAGGCCCACAAGCCGCCCGCGCGCGCGGTGCCCCAGCACTTCCTCCTCCTCCTCCTCCTCCTCCTCCTCCTCCTCCTCCTTCGCTTCCTCCTCCTCCTCCTCCTCCTCCTCCTCCTCCTCCGCCTCCGCCTCCTCCTCCTCCTTCTCCTCCTCCTCCTCCGTCTCCTCCTCCGCCTCCTCCCAAGAAACACAGGCGCTGCGCTGGAGCAGGAGCGCCGCTTGCGAGCGACGTCTGCGCGGCGCCGGCACAAGAATGAGACGCTCGTCCGGTCGCGCGTCGGCGAGCTGGCGTGCGATGGTTGTGCGACGCGCCTGGGCGGGACGCCACCTCTCCGGGAACATGATCAAGCAGTGGCGTCGGGAGCCTCGAGACGGGGGTCAATGCAGACGGGGGTCAACCAGGGCGCCGAATCCTGCAGGATCCTGCGAAGACCCCCTCTGGCTGACCCGGGTTAGGGAGCCGCTCGTGGCCCCGAGGCGGCCGCACATATTGACTGACCCGGGTTTGCGAAGATCTGCGTTGCAGTTTTTTTTCCAGCATTGCAGTTTTTGGTTTCCTGCTGACCCGGGTCTGGATTGACCCGGGTCAGGAGATCCCCGACAGTGGCGAATCGTCCGGGCTCGCCTATAGCCCCACCAAACAATGTTATAAGGACCTTTTTGTGTATTCCACGACATGCTCTTAGAACATTTCTGGCCGGGTCTGTTTTGTTTTAACGCATCGGGTTTATGTTCCAAGAACACTGATATTGAGATTCGAACATTTTTGGGTTCTAAGAACATTTCGTGGTATGACTATAGGAATGATGGGACGGTCGGTCCGTACTCAAACATGAGCGCGACTCCAAGGCGAGAGCGGCATTTCGCCCTTTCGCGCGGCCGATGTGCGCCCCGTCCCACTCCCTGCCGCGCATCGTCGACGCGGACGACTGGATTTCCATGGGGGGGAGCAACCACGTGGGTGTTGTGTTGTTTGTTTGCATCAGATAGCGCGCTCCTTTGCAAGTACGCCGGCTTCGGCACCGCCTGATTCCGAGGCTTTGCCTCCTCCCGGCCTCGTTCTGAGGCTGCGCCCGCCCCCCTTTTCCTCTTCTTCTTTGCCTAATTCAAGCTTCGCGCGGCCCGCTGATCTTCGACCAGAAGAGGTGCGCTCTCGACCCGCGGATTCAAAAAGTTCGATTGCATCAGATAAGGTGGCGGGGGCGAATTGGGAGCGTTACGGTCGAAAACGATAGTATGGATGGGCTGGCTTCCCAAAGGGCACCCTTGTGTCTTCGCCTCCCCGGTCCATACTTACCCCCATTTCGATGGCCAGCCCCGCTCGAGAAGCTTTGACATGAGCTTTCAAGATGCTTGCAAACTGATCGCGCATCTTTGCTATCAGTATTGCCTGTATGTAGCGGCTGGGTTCGTGAGAACGTAGGAGTACAGAGTTCACCAGGTAATGAAATAACCACCACCACCAGCTAGGAGGGCCGGCCATTGCTCCCCCCCCCAAGCTGGTGGCACCCCGTTACGGGCGCGCCCTCAAACAGTGCCCAGAACGGAGTGCCACCAGCTCGGGGGAGGGGGGCTCTCCGAAAGAAACTCAGTGGAGTTCCAGCAGCTTTTTTTTGCATCCGCGAACAGTAACAAGGTCTTCGTGCCTGCACTGCGGATGCTCATTCTGGGTGGTTTGGCTTGATGCACTTGCTCAAAAGACCCCATATCCCTCATGTTTCTTGGGGCCTCGTTTTTTACTGGTCGCCCGCCGCCCACATAATTCCAACTTAGGCCTCCAAGGGCCTTGCGTCCTTGCAACCCGCTCCGCCGGCCCTGGCCTCCCGCCTGCGCGTTCCTCGTCGTCTGCCTGCTTCTCCCCTCCTCTTCCCCCTTCGCCGGGCAACACGGCCTGCCCGGGACCCGCGTGGTAGCGCGTAGGGCTCTAGAGCAGGGCCCGCTGACCGCTCGGGCGCCAGCGAGTCCGTATTGTGCAGGATTTGGGTCTCTCCGCTCGCGTATCTGCACGTTATGTTTGCGGGGATCAGGAGGAAAAGAAACACACAGACACCATTAATCTTCGATTCCCAAGAAGATACGGGAAAATATGGGCAGTGGGGGGGAAGACAGAAACCCAGAACATATGGACAAATATTGGGATTCTTTTTATTTGTGTGTATTTATGTGTGTGTGTGTCCTGGGGCCCCTTCAAGGGAGGAGGTCGGCGCTTCCTTGCACGGAGGCGCCCTGGAAGCTGCTGCTGGAGTTCGAGGACGCGCCCCCCGCGGCCGCGGCGGCCTCGGCGCCCGAAGCCGCCGTGCCCGCCTCGGGGGCCTCGATCGCGGCGCGCCCTTCGGCGCTGGCTCGGCGGCGCGCCTTCCTTCCTCGCGCCGCTCCTCGGGAGCCTCGACGGACGGACGGACGAGCGTCCGAGGCGGCGAATTACGCAGCACCCCGCAGATGCGGATAAGAGTTGGGTATGGCCAGGACCCCGGGTAGGGCCCCAGAGCCTTGAATTGGCCAGAATCACTAAACCAGGTTTGTCATAGCTGGTGTTGTTCGGGCGTTAGTGGAAATTGGGCGGGGGGGCGCCCCCGGTACAAATCTTTAAACCAGGTTCCACTGAACCCAGTTCTGCCAACGCCCGAAAGAGGGAGGGGACGGTGGGGACGTCGGCAGTCTACGAGACGAAGCCCGCCGCAGGCGCCAAAATTCCACAAATGATACAACGAGCCCGCCGCAGGTGCCGATTTTCCCTTCAAGCCAATGTGGATGGGTCGCGGGGTGGGTCGCGGGTGGGTCGCGGGTGGGTCGCGGGTGGGTCGCAGGGTGGGTCGCGGGTGGGTCGCAAGTGGGTCGCGGGTGGTTCTCGGGGTGGGTCGCGGATGGGTCGCGGGGTGGGTCGCAAGTGGGTCGCGGGGTGGGTCGCGGGTGGGTCGCGGGTGGGCCGCGGGTGGGTCGCAGGGTGGGTCGCGGGGTGGGTCGTTGGGTGGGTCGCGGGGTGGATCGCGGGGTGGGTCGCGGGGTGGGTCGCGGAGTGGGTCGCGGGGTGGGTCGCGGGGTGGATCGCGGGGTGGGTCGCGGGGGGGACGACAACAAACAACAACAGCAACAACAACAACCACAACAAGAACAACAACAAAAACAACAAGAACAACAGCAACAACAACAACAACAGCAACAACAACAGCAACATCAACAGCAACAGCAACACTAGCACCAACAACAACAACGCAACAACCATAATCATCACCACGGATTCTCACTTCAGCCACGCACCCAGGGGCAGTGAATGACGGTTCGGCCCCCTCATTCTGATCCATAACCACCGCCTGGGGGATCGATCCTCGCGGATTTTCACAGGCGTTTGATATGGATATGGGTATGGATGTTGATACATAGCTATTCCTATTACAATCTTCGTGTAGGGTCGGGGACCCCGGAAAGAGCGCACCCCACCTACCCCCCAACAACTAATTCCGAATCTTCGGGCCTGTCTTGCGCCTTGGGTGTTCTCTGATGTTCGACTCTCTGGGCCCTATTGGGCCAGCCTTAGGCATCTTTAGGGCTCGTCTGCAGAATCATTTGGAGCCGTCCTGGGGCTATCTCGACGCCTCCAGAGCCGATAGTAAGCGAAAAGGCGAGAAGACCAAAAACATTGTTGTTCAATGGGTTTTCATTGATTTTCAATTCTCTGGGCATTCTTCGGCCAGCCTTGGGCCTCTTTTGGGCTCGTCTGGAGACTCATTTGGAGTTGTCCTGGGGCTATCTCGACGCCTCCAGAGCCGATCGTAAGCGAAAGGCGTGAAGACCAAAAACATTGTTTCGCCCAGTGGATTTTCATTGATTTTCAATTCTCTGGGCATTCTGCGGCCAGCCTTGGGCCAGTTTGGGTTTCGTCTGGGGACTCATTTGGAGCCGTCCAGGGGCTACCTTGACGCCTCAAGAGCCGACTGGAAGCGAAATGGCGAGAAGACCGAACACATTGCTTTTCCAATCGGTTTCCATCATAAGTAATTGATCTTTAGCCCCCCCTCCTTTTTCCAATGGCGCCCCCTTTTTCCAATGGCACCTCCCCTTTTTCCAATGGCACTTGCTTGTTTGCATTTGCGTGCTTGCTCTCGCTTGGTTGCTCTTGCTTGCTCTTGCTTGCTTGCGCTTGATCGCTGGCTCTTGCTTGCTTGGTATTGCTCGCTTGCGCTTGCTTGCGCTTGCTTAGTTTTGCTTCACCCGTCCTGCTCTCGTCCTCCTTTCGTCCTGCTCCCATCCTCCTCTTGTCCCCCTCCTGTCCTCTTATCTGTTTGGAGTCAACGCTGGGCTGACATGTTTTATTGACTTTCGAGCCTCCGAGCCCTCTAGGGCCAGTCTGTGCCTTCTTTGGGGCTCGTCTGGGGACTCATTTGGAGCCGTCCTGGGCCTCTCTCGATGCCTCAAGAGCCAATGGGAAGCGACACGGCGAGAAGACCAAAAACATTGATTTTCCAATGGATGATCACGGATTTTCAACTCTTTGGGCCCTCTTCGGCCAGCCTCGGGCCGCTGTGGGCCTCGGCTTACGCCTCTGGGAGGCCATCCCGGGGTCATCTTGACGCTTCTCGAGCCAACCGGAAAGGAAAAGCGAGAAGGTCGAGTTTCGCCGATGGGTTTTCTCTGATCTCTGACTTTCCGGGCCCTGTTGAGCCAGCCTTGGGCCTCTTTGGGGCTCGTCTGGGGGCTCATTTGGAGCCGTCCTGGGGCTATCTCGACGCCTCAAAAGCAAATCGTAAGCGAAATGCGAGGAGGCAGCAACACATGGATTTCCCAACTGGTGTTCACTGATGTTTTTTTTTCTTGTTGGCCTTCTTGGGCCAGCCTTGGGCCTCTTTGGGGCTCGAATCCGGCAGCCCAGCAGCACCCATGCCGAAAATAGCATGTTCTGTTGGAGGTGGAGGAGGATGAGGAGGAGGAGGAGGAGGGGGAGGAGGAGGAGGTTGAGGAGACGGAGGAGGAGGAGGAGAAGGAGGAGAAGGAGGAGGAGAAGGAGGAGGAGGAGGAGGAATTTGAGTAATATATTGAGAGAGGAGAAAGAGGATGAGAATGCGGAGGAGAAAGAGTAGGAGGAAAAGGGGAGAGGAGGAGAAAGATGAGCAGGATGCCCTGTTTCATGCTAGCCCAACCACTCGCCTGAGACTCATTGCTTTTCCGATGGGTTGCCTCTGATTCCTGACTCTCCGGGCCCTGTTGAGCCAGCCTTGGGCATTTTTTGGGCTCGTCTGGGGACTCATTTGGAGCCCTCCTGGGGCTATCTGGACGCCTCAAAAGCCGGTCGTAAGCGAAATGCGAGGAGGCAACAAAACATGGATTTTCCAATGGGTTTTCATTGATGTTTCTTTTTGTTGGCCTTCTTGGGCCAGCCTTGGGCCTCTTTGGGGCTCGAAGCCGTCAGCCCAGCAGCACCCATGCCGAAAATAGCATTTTTTGTAGGAGGTGGAGGAGGAGGAGGGGGAGGAGGAGGGGGAGGAGGAGGAGGGAGGAGGAGGAGGAGAAGGAGGAGAAGGAGGAGAAGGAGGAGGAGGAGGAGGAATTAGAGGAATAGGAGGAGAGAGGAGAAGAGGATGAGGATGGGGAGGAGAAAAAGTAGCAAGATGCCCTGCTTCATGCTAGCCCAACCACTCGCCTGAGGCACCTTATCCGGCCAGCCTTGGGCCTCTGTGGGCCTCGGCTTGCGCCTCTCTGGAGCCATCCTGAGGCTATCTTGACGCCCTCTGAGCCGACCAGAAGCGAAAAAGCGAGAAGACCGGAACCATTTCTTGTCCAATGTTTTTTGGTATTATTCTCTTTACTGTTGATTTTCGAGCCTCTGGGCCCTCTAGGGCCAGTCTGTGCCCTCTTTGGGGACTCATTTGAAGCCGCCCCAGGCCTATCTTGATGCCTCAAGAGCCACTCGTAAGCGACATGGCGAGAAGACCAAAACATTGATTTTCCAATGGATTATCACGGATTTTCAATTCTTCGGGCCCTCTTCGGCCAGCCTTGGGCCTCTGTGGGCCTCGGCTTACGCCTCTCGGAGGCCATCCTGGGGTCATCTTGACGCCTCTCGAGCCAACCAGAAAGGAAAAGCGAGAAGGCCGAAGTCATTGCTTTTCCGATGGGTTTTCTCTGATTTCTGACTTTCCGGGCCCTGTTGAGCCAGCCTTGGGCCTCTTGGGGGCTCGTCTGGGGACTCATTTGGAGTTGTCCTGGGGCTATCTCGACGCCTCCAGAGCCGATCGTAAGCGAAAAGGCGAGAATACCGAAAACATTGTTGTCCCAACGGGTTTTCAATGATTTCCAATTCTCTTGGCATTTTTCTGCTAGCCTTGGGCCTCTTTGGGGCTCGTCTGGGGACCCATTTGGAGCCGTCCTGGGGCTATCTTGACGCCTCAAAAGCCGATCGTAAGGGAAAAGGTGAGAAGGCCAAAAACACTGATTTCGCAATGGGTTTTCATTGAATTTCAATGTCTTGGGCCTCCTTGGGCCAGCCTTGGGCCTCTTGGGGGCTCGAAGCCAGCAGCCCAGCAGCGCGCATGCCGAAAATTGCATGTTTTGTGGGAGGTGGAGGAAGAGGAGGAGGAGGAGGAGGAGGGGGAGGAGGTAGAGGAGAAGGGGGAGAAGGAGGAGGCGGAGGAGAAGGAGGAGGAATTAGATGAAGAGGGGGGGAGAGGAGAAAGAGGATGAGGATGAAAAGGAGAGAGAGAGAGAGAGAGAGAGAGATGAGAGGAGAGGAGAGGAGAGAGATGACAGGATGATGCCCGTTCTTCCCCTCCCCCTCTCCCCCATCTCTTCCTTCCTGCCTCCTCCCTTTCCGCTCCTTCTCCAGGTTGAGAGCGCGTGGATTTGTCCGGATCTCCCAATCCTGCTCATATGCAATATTGATTGCGAAGGCCTTACGGCCGGCGCCGCCGACCCTGTAGGGGGACGACGACGACGGCGGCGGTGGCGGCGGCGACGACGACGCTGACGTGGGCCCGAGTCCTCAGGGACGCTTCTTGGGGTCTCTTGGGAAGGCTCTCGGGGGCCTCCGGGGAGGAATTGTATTGTCTCTATAGAGCCTTTTTCGGGCGTCCTGGGGGCCTCTTGTGGGCTGCTTGGCGCCTCTTGAGAACCTCTTGGGTCCTCCTGGGAGCTAGCTTCTCGGGGCCGAGGGCTCGACATGTCCGTTCGGGTTCCCGGTCAAGGCACGCTGTTGGAGCCGTCTTGAGGGCCTCTCGAGCCGTCTTGGAGGCGTTTGGGGCTGTCTTGGGGTTCTCTTGGGATGTTTTGGAGCGCTTTTGGAAGCCTCTTGGGCCGATTTGGGGCGATCTTGAAGGCCTCTTCGGCTGTCTTGGGGCGGCTGGAAGAAGAAAAGGCGAGAACGCCCAAATCTGTCAAACACATAATGGAAAATCATTAATGTTTGCCTCGTAGGGGCCCTCTCGGGGGTATCTTTGGAGGCCTCCTGGGGCCCCCTTGGGCACCCTGTGGAAGAGTCTTCGAAGTCCGGGGGCCTCTTGGAGGTCTCGTGGAGAATTCTGGGGGACTCTTGTGGGCTTCCGGGACCGCGCTGGAGTTCCAGGACCGCGTGGGGGGGGGGGGGGGGGAAACGTCTCTAGGTGGCGACCCCCCCCGGGACCTCCCCCCGGCTCGGGAAGTGATCAAAGGGAAGGGGCTTCACTTCGATTCGACTCCGAATTTGCGAGGCTTCTCTCTCGGTGACAGGCATGCGGAGGGTGCAGGGAAAGGGGACGACGCAGACGACGACTGACGGAGACGATGACTCGAACAGGCAAACCCCTCGCACACGCCGACAGGGTCGGCGGATGTGTCTGGCTGGCAGATGGATTGTCCACCCATGCCCTGCACAGGGCCGAGCTGCCGACAGGCTTGCTCGAGTGGCGCTCCGTTCCGTTCATCTCTGTTCCCCGCCCGATTCCCGCCCACGACCCCAGCTCGGCGGCGAGCGAGGAGGAGAGGGAGAAGGGGCGGGCTTTGCCTTCTCAGCAGGGTCAGAAGTCCCCCGGCTTCCCGAGAAGTCTCTTCAGCCTTCCCCGAAGAGACGGACAGCTTCTCCGAAGGCGCGCGAGGGCTTTGAGAAGTCAGACGTCCCGCCGCCCTCTGAGTACGACTTGTCCTTCTCATGCCCCCTTCCTTTTCGCCTTTCTCCTCCCTCTCCTCGACCGCTCCGTAGCCATTTTGGCTCAAGCCGTTTAGACTCAAGCGAGTTTTGAATCGCTTCGCGTGCAGGCAGGCAGTTAAATGTACAGTTTGATTTCGCATTGGCAGCCAAAAACCGTGGGAATTTACATGGAGAGCGGGCTCCAGAAAAAACAAACACATTCCAGAGACCTTCGGTGAGGCCAGCCCATACTACAGATCCACGGTTATCTTAGTCTTGCCCGCCGTATTGGTGGCCATTGCGGTGTACGTTTACGGTGTTTACGAGTTTCCATTCCAAGAGCGTGTTTGCCATGTATCATTCGTATTGGGTGTTGCTTACGTACCCGGCAGTAATGCTGGAATCTTATTTTATGCTCCAAAGGTGTACACGACTTGCATGGAAGACGAATGCTTCGGGAAAGAGGCTTTCAGCACCATCCAGGCGGCGTTGTTCCCAGGGTCCTTCGCACTCCAGATTGCATCAACGTTTGTTACACTCGGTGGACGCATCGGTCAGGGGGCTACGCCCACGATGCTGTGTGCTTTTGCCTAGTTCGGGCTTTATCGCTTGTCTTAGTTCATATTCTCTGCCTCGACCCCCTCACGTCGAGATCCATCGTTGACATGTACACCCTTTGCCCAGAGGGGTTCTACGGGTACAGCCAGCCATTCTCCGCGCCGCTTATGCCGAACGCCGAGGCGAACAAGAGAGTAAAGATGCGATTCGGCATTGCACATGGCATTTCTATGCTCTTGAATGTGTTGTCGCTCGATACAGTCGGTCTCAGTATAGTTTTGTCTGCTTGAGTCGATCGATCTCACAGTCTGAGATCTGTCTTGATACTCCGAGCACATCTAGCTTGCTTTCCAGAGCGCATTTCGCCGTCTGAGTCTGAAGGTCATTTTGAAGTTAGCCTCGGTCGTTTCCGAACCCTGTGTTCCGCATGTTGCCTGCACCCTGCTTTCTGTACCCTGTTTCCGCCTTCCGGCGAGTCCTGCTCTTCGCCAGGGCAGCGTGTTTGGGGGCGCTTTCGGCCATACAGTCATCACTAGCTGCGACGCGTCCCATCATCCTTGCCTGCCTCCTCCTCCTCCTCCTCCATCTCATCCTCTCGGGGGCAACGATACGGGGGGATAGGCATAGGGGGGATGCATCGACCCCCAATCGCCCATTGATCGCCGGTACGGGGCCGATTGCCCAGGAGGGTGCGGATTCACTACCAGAGGCCCATCGCCGATCTGTCGGCGATGTATCGCCGATTCCAGGTCGATGTCTCCCCCCCTCTTTCGGAGGGAGGAGAAGCGACACCAACACCAACAGGGGGGCCACTTCCAGCGAGGAGGTCCACGAGGCCTCCCCGAGCTGGAGGCTGGGGATGTCTCGAGCGAGAGGGGGGGACCACACCACCAGGGAGACCCCCCTTGCCTCCTTGCATCTCCTCGCCCTGTTGGTGTTGGTGTCGCCTTTCCTTGTCCCTACCTCTTCCTATCTCCCCCTATCGTTGCCCCTCACTCCTCCTCCATCTCATTGGCTAACCTCCAGGGCTCCCGCCACCCTCGGACGGGGGTCCCCCATCGGCAGGCAAGGGCCGCCTGGGTCCAGGGGATAGCCCTCTTGTGTAACGCGTGGCTCTCTTAGGGGGCGGGGCCCAGCCGCGCCCGTCCACGGAGCCGTTGGATGGTCCGATCCCCTCCTCGCCGCCGACGCCCACCGCCCCCGCGCCCTCCGAGCGCCTCGCCCCGAGCCTGCCCCGAGGCAGCGCCGCCCCTGCCGCCCCCGGCGCGCCCGCCCGCGGCCCAGGACGGGGCCGGGCGCCGCCGCCGCCGCCGCGGGCAGAGGGCCCCCCTTCGGCGCGCCTCGACCGGCGGCGCGCGCGGCGGGGCCGTCGTCGTCGTTCGGAGGGTGAAAGTCTCGGGGGTGGACAGGCCTCCTCCTCCTCCTCCTCCTCCTCCTCCTCCTCCTCCTCCTCCTCCTCCTCCTCCCCCTCCTCCTCCTCCTCCTCCTCCTCCTCCTCCTCCTCCTCCTCCTCCTCCCTCCTCCTCCTCCTCGGGCACGTGCGCCGCCGTTTGGCGTGCGCCTGCCCTGAATTTTGGCCGCTTTCGGTTCGCGAGAGGGCGTCGCGGCCGTCATTCTTGCGGGTCCAGGTCCGTCGGTTTCCAAGGGCTCCCTCGAGGGCGCGAAGTTCTTCGCGCTTCGCGCTTCGCGGTCCTCCTTCCTCCTCCCCCTCCTCCTCGTCCTCCTATTCTCCCGTTGGGGGGGCGGCGCGAGAGCGCGAAGTTATTCGCGCTTCGCGCTTCGCGCAGCGCGAAGCGCGAAGTTGGGAGCCCTAGGTTTCGGTCCCAGGCCGTTTCCCCGAAAGGGAGGTTTACTAAAGGGAGGTTTTTGTCCACCGCCGAATGTCGGGTATGGCTGGGACCCCAGGTAAGGGGACTCGGTTAGTGGTAGGGCCCTTGGGCCCCTCACTTGGCCAGATTCACTAAACCGGGTTTGCCGTAACCGGTGTGTTTCGGGTGGCGGCAGTTCCGGTTGGTGGAAATGGGACGGGGGGGGCGCCCGCGGTACAAATCACTAAACCAGGTTCCACTAAACCCAGTTCTGCCAACGCCCAAGAAAGAAGGGGTCTGCAACAGGGGGTCTGCAAGGGGTGCTGAGTGGCCCATGTATGCTCCATGTATCGCTCATGTCTGCGATCGGGTACGATTGGCATCTTGTGTTGGCGGTCATGGAGGGCCAGTCGTTCGTTCCCGCGCGTTGCCCGTGCGGGCAAACGCGCCCTCCATCCATTATCGTTCACGCGTGCGGGCGTTCTTGCATATCGCGCGTGGGGCGGCGAAGTGGAGTGCAAGTGTGTCTTGATTATGTGATTGATGATCGCGTATGTTCACAAACGATGGTTGGTCGACGCGTACGACAGATTTGGAATGGGCGCCTCGGTTCTCCCAAAATGTGAATACACATGTTCCTTGTTCCCCAAATGTGAATTCCCATTCTGGCACCTGTCATAAAGATCCTTGCGCAAAACTCTAACATGTGAATTCACATTTGCCATTTTCCGAACTGCGAATTCCGATTATCCCTTTTCCCACAGTGTGAATTCACAGTTTGCTTTCCCCAGAATGTGAATTCACATTTTACCCTGACCCTCAAGGTCCCCCAAACTGAGGCGCAGTGTTCCGCGTGTCAGATTGGCTGTGCAGATTTTGTCATTCACCCCGCCGCTGTTATTCAGCAGCGAAAGAAGGACGTACACGTACATGAATCCACGCTGATTTCGAGAGCTCGCATTGCGCGAATGTTCGTATCACGCGGCCGGTTTCGCGGGTCAAGGGGCCGTGTTCATGTACATAGTTGGGCGCGTACGTCCTTTTGTGGGCTCCTTCGTTATTTCAACCTTCTCTTCTTGCTCCCTCAGCGCACGCTGCTTTCGTCGCATGTCCCCAGCCTCCCGACCCCCTGCTTCGTTGACCCTCACGTCTAGCGGAGGGGCGCAGGCGGGGAGCCTCAGTGGGCTCCCGCGCCGAACACAGCAGTCGAGGACGTATCGCCCACGCGTGGCCCATAGAGACACCACTGCTGGGACCCTGCGCCCGACCCCCACGCTCACTCTCCAATTCGTCGTCGCCGTCGCCGTCGCCGTCGCCGTGGTCGGCCACGCGCAGAGGGCCTCCCCGGGCGCCCCCGATGAGAAGGGGTGAGCTCTAGGTAGGGGGCCACGTGCGAACCGTACCTCCTCCACCTCCTCCTCCTCCTCCTCCTCTTCCTCCTCCTCCTCCTCCTCCTCCTCCTCCTCCTCTTCCTCCTCTACCTCTCCTCCTCCTCCTCCTCCTCCTCCTCCTCTTCCTCCTCTACCTCCTCTTCCTCCTCTACCTCCTCCTCCTTCCTCCTCCTCCTCCTCCTCCTCCCTCCTCCTCCTCCTCCTCCTCCTCCTCCTCCTCCTCCTCCCTCCTCCTCCTCCTCCTCCTCCTCCTCCTCCTCCTCCTCCTCCTCCTCCCCTGCCCCCCACGGTTTCTGGGGGAGAGGGTGGGGTTCACTTCGTTCGGGAGCTCCCGAGCGAAGCGAAACCCACCCTCCCCCTCAGAAATCGTGGGGGGTATGGGGTAGGGTTCGCACGCGGCCCCCTTCTAGGCCTGTCTCGCGGGAACCTCCGGCTCTGCCTCGGGGGGGGGGGGCGGAAAGGGGGGGTAGCAATGCGTCGGCGGCGAGCAAGGGGGGGAAGCGAGAGGGAGAAGGGCTCCTTCAGGCTGCAGCGGGACTTCCCAGAGACCCTCGGAGGAGTTTCCAGTGTCGTCGGGGAAGGCTCAGGAAACTTCCCGGAAGGCTGGGGGACCCCCGAGCCGTCTGAGAAGCCCAGCACTTTCTCAATTTCCCCCCGGCTCGCTGCCGACAGTCGGTTACGCGCAAAGGGCCTCCCAGGAACCCCAAAAAGGTGGGAAACGAGGGGAGGGTGGCAATGTGGGACCCTTTTTTCGGGGAAGCGTAAGACTCGAGAGTGCGTCGGGACTAGGGTTTGCCGACGTTTTCTGACGAGCGCATCCTGGCTTTCGACGGTCTGGTTGTCGTAAGATGTTTGCAGCGGGAACTCGCGTCAAATTTCAGACTGGGTCTCGTCATTTTCACTGACGGCCCCTTCAGGCCAACCCGAGACCCCCGACCCTGATTCTTGCGTTTCCCCGCAGCGCGGGCTTCTTGTCCTCATTTGATGTACACCGTCCTTGGGCCCAGGACGGGCCAGGCTTGGGGCAGTGGACACGTACGGCTTTCGTCGCCCTGAGCCCTTGCGAGCGCGCACCAGTCGGGCCGGGCGAAAGGGGGGGATTGGGAAAGGGGGGGTTACGAAATTTGCTGCATGCAGCTGGTTTCGGCCTCGCCGAGGGGCCCATTCCTCGATACATAGCCGCCTCCGGCGCCGGGAGGCGCCGGGAAAATCAGCTACGTGAGCTGATTCTCAAACCCCCCCTTTGCTATCCCCCCCTTTCCGACCCGAACCAGGGGGTTCTGGGGGAGGACGGGAAGGCTCCTTCGAAGGCGACCCGCCGCGACTTCTCAGAGGCAGCCCTGCCCCTCAGGAGGCGGCTCGGGCCTCCTCGATGGAGGAGGCCGGCGCCTTCGAAGCGTCGGCCTCTCTCTGAGCGGCCTTCGCCCCTCCCCTTTGTGCCCCCTTACCGTGTGCGCCGCCAGGGTCAGGAGGGGAAAAAACACACAGACACAATTAATCGTCGATTCCCCAGAAAATATGGGAAAATATGGGAAGTGTGGGGGAAGACAAAAACCCAGAAAATATGTGAAAATATGGGAGATTATTTTATTTGTGTGTATTTATTTGTGTGTCCTGGGGCCCCTTCACAGGGCCCCAGGGCGACGGAATCTGTCCATGTCCACTGCCCCAGGCCTGGCCCCCTCCTGGGCCCAGGGGCGGTGTACAGTCGGGGCCCTGAAGAAGGAACCCTTCTCGCTGGGGAGGGGCTCGCTGTTCCTCGATTGTTCTGCAGTTTGCCTTCTGTTTTCCTGAGGTTTTCCATGGGAAATCGAGATTGAGCTTCTGGGAAACAGGGGCCTCGTTCCTTATTTTGGGTTCCTTAGGCCAACGCCCCTACGGTATACCAGATGAGGAAATAGGTGCCCCACCTTGCTAACAGCCCCTGGTTTTGTTGTTACACCCCGTGCAGGAGTCTGCCAAGGGTTCTTTTTGTGTGCGTTGCGGGCATTTGGCCCCGTGCCAGCGGGGTGTCGAGCAGGAGGCGTCGGAATGGCACGCGCAAGGCTGAGTTGGCGGAGGGGGGGTCTCCGACATGGGTCTCGGAGCGCGTGCGCTCGGCACATGCTCTCGTCTGTTTCGGGCCAGGGCGGGACCGCAGGCGAGGGACCCAACCTGGTAGCGTCGGTTTTTTTACGCGCAAAATCGCGTGCGCGGAGGGTGGGGTCTCCAACGTGGGTCTCGGCACGCGTGCGTCCGGCATGTGTCTTCACGTGTTTCGGGCCAGGAGGGGGCCGCAGGCGAGGGATCCGGTTTGAGAACGTCGGATTCTTGGCATGTAAAAGACTTGGCATCGCTCGGACGTGTGCATTTTTCCTTCGGCGAGGACCATCGAGGAGCATCCTTGATCATCTGGCGAACAAATCACGCACGAAACAGAAAAAAACAGAGAATGGACATCCGAGCGATGGCGAGAAGAGCGTGCCTGGAGGGGGGGGACTCATGCTGCTCTTGGCGCGTGCGCGCGGGGCACGCGCTTTCACTCCCACGGCCCCCCGGGGGCGAATCCCATTTGGTAGCGTCTTTTCTTGCACACGTAAAGATGCAGTGCCGTTTTTGATACATGCTCCGCGTGCGGATCATGTATTCAAAATACAGGGATTTAGCATTAAACACAAAGATGAGTTCATGCATACATTTATTCGTAATTTGAGCATGTATTAGAATCTTATGTTTTAAGAATCCTATGTGTTAAAACCTGCCCTGTGCGTATGCGGAGGTGGGGACCCCAACATGCGCCTGGCGCGCGCGGGGCACGTGTGCTCAAACGTCCGCGGCCCCCATAGGGGCACCCAAAGGTTGGTAGCGTCGGAGTCTTCACACGCAGACACGCGCACCGAGGGGGAGGGGGATCCAGCATGGCGCCAGGCGCGTGCGCGCGCGCGGCGCGTGTGTGTGTTCGCGTGCCCGCGGCCCCCAGGCGGTGGCCCATGTTGCTAGCGTCGGCTTCGTGGTTGGCCTCGGGCGCCCTCTCTTTTTTTTGTTATCTCTCTCTCTCTCTCTGTCTCTCTCTCGCTCTCTCTCTCTCTCTCTCTTCCCCTTCTGCCTCTCCCCCAACCTAAAAAAGGCGTCAACTCTTGAGTGGTGGTGGGGGGTCCTCGAGGAGGCTCCCTCCCGCCGAGGCAGGCCGCGCGTCGCTCGGGCAACGACGGCGCCAGCCGCGCGGCATCCCGAGCGCTGCCGCGGGGCTCCCCGGTCAGGGCGTAGACTCATGGTCGTCAGAGAGGATCGGGCCGGACGCAAGGGGGGGATTGGGAAAGGCGGGGTTACGAAATTTGCCGCGTGCAGCCGGTTTCGGCCTCACCGAGGGTCCCATTCTTCGATACATCGCCGCCTCAGGCGCCGGGAGGCGCCAGGAAAATCAGCTATCTACGTGAGCTGATAATCTAGGGGAACCCAAAGTGGCATAAACATACAAACTCTGAGGTCCGCGCGGATTTCTCGGATCCGCGCTGGACCCCCCTGGCGGCCCCTCCGGCGCCGCCCCTGGCGCGCTCCGCGCGCCAGGGAGGGGGGTCCAGCGCCGATCCGAGAAATCCGCGCGGGCCTCCGAGTTTTTATGTTTATGTCATTTGTTGTTCCCCTAATCACAGTTTCGGGAGTCTCGCTCCGAGGCTCCCAGTCGGCCAGTACAGCTTACCGTGTGTGATGGCACGCTCTCTCCGTCGCTGTCCACTCCTCCTCCTTGTCATCCTCGTCCTTCTCGTCCGCCTCTTCTGCCTTCCCTCTGCATCCGCTTCTTTGTCCTCCTCGTCATCCTATTCGCCCTTTGCCTCCTCCTTCCAGCTTCTCCTTTCTCCCAATGCCTCTTCCCCAATCCTTCCTCCACTCCTCGCAATCATCCCCCTCCTCCTTCCCCGCCTTGTTCTTCTCTTCCTGGTCCTCCAGCTTCTTCTGCTCCCGTTGCTTCTCCTGGCTCCACTGCTATTGTTCCTCCTGCTCCCCTTCGTTGTGATCCTCATCCTCTAGCTACTCATTCTCTTCCTCCCGCTGGTCCTCTCGTCCCTCATTCTCTCCCAGGCCATCCGCCATCCCATCAATCCAAGTGTTCTGGTATCCTTTCAAGGAGCAGCCGCTCGAGTCGCGCGATCGCGTGCCCCAGCATCTGAAGGACAGGTGCCGACGGGCACGGCAGAGGAGGGCGGGCGGGGCACAGGAGAGGACGGGCGGGCGGAGGGGGAGGGGGGAGGGGGCAGGGAGAATGAGGGGGGGGAGGAAGCCGACGGGCATTCTCTCTCAGGGCCAAGTTTGATGCGACAGGTCCGATTCGATCCCGGGTTCACCCGCGATCCGATCCGATTCGGTTACGTGCCGATGCGGCCCAGTGCTGCGCACATTCATTCGATCCGATCCGACTTCCCGATTCGATGCCGACGGATTGTGCTTTTGAGTTAGGAGGACCTGGACAGGCACGACCGCGACGAGAGTTGTGATGAGGACGGGTATGACGAGATCGGTCAGGGTCAAGGTGGAGAGGGGGACAGGATTCTGAGTGATGATGATGAGGATGAGGATGAGGATGAGGATGAAGATGAGGATGATGATGATGATCATGATCATGATCATGGTGATGATGCTGCTGATGCTGATGCTGCTGCTGATGCTGCTGATGATGCTGATGTTGATGATGAGGAGGAGGATGCTGTTGCTGATGATGATGCTGCTACTTCTGCTGCTGCTGATGATGATGAAGATTAGGAGGACGGCGCCACAAGAACGATGTTGTTGATCGTGTAGATCATGACGGTGTTAGTGGTCAGAGGACGAGTAGGAGGACGAGTGGGAGGAAGGGTGAGCAGGGGAGAGGATGATTATGATGATGCTGATGCTGATATTGTTGCTGATGATGCAGATATGGTGATGATGCTGATGATGATGATGATTATTGATGATGGTGATGACGATGATGATGATGATGCGGATGATGCTGATGACGGAGATGATGGTGAGGATGGTGATGATCGTGGTATGGCTGATATGGTGATGGTCATGATGATCATGATGATAAGGGTGTGATGGTTGGCGAGCACATGTGCGACGTGCGTTGAGTATGCGCGGTACTACTTGCACTGTCGTTTCTGAACGCGCATAAGTCACGAGTGTCCTTTTCTCTCTCACGAGCAACTCCCGCGTTGACCAAACATTCCAGGCGTTCTGGGAATTTGATGAGGCGGTGATGGTGGTGGATGAGGGAGAGAGGAAGGAGCGAGGCGAGGTTGTTGGCGGAGGGAGGCTGTAGAAGAAGGATGAGGAGGGGCAGGAGAGAAGAAGGAAGCGGAGGAGAGGGAACGAGGGCGGATATGAGCCCATAGATACTCCTCCCTCGTGGTAGAGTCCAATTCTCCCTCCTCAGCCTCCCTCCTCCCACCACTTCCCTCGTCCCCTTACTCTCTCCTTCCCTGCGCGACTTCTCCTCCCGCCCCTCCTCCTCTGCCCTCCTCCCTTTCCTCCACCCTGTCCCGTCCTCCTCTCCTCGCCTGTCCCTCTCACACGGATGCGGCTGACCCGCGGCAGGCTTCTCGGTCTTCAGGCAGGGGCCCTGCGCGGTTTGCCCCACGCCGGGCCTCCTTGCTGCGCCCTGCACTTCGCCCAGAGGGCCCCGCGAGGCTCCCGGTTTGCGTTTTCCGACTCCGCCTGGCCGATTCGAGCCGACCTGCCAGGGATCCAGTCCGACTCGATGCGGGCGGCATTCTGATCGCAGTGGGCCCTGGAAACGATGGTTTTTTTTTTACCGGTTCCGCTTTGCCGTTTTTTTGCCGGTTCCGACGCCGTTTGTTTTACCGGTTGCGTCGCCGTTTGTTGACCAGTTCCGGCTCCGGTTCCAATCCTGGAGCCGTTTTCTTGCCGTTTTTGGTCGCCGTTTTTTTGCCGTTTCCATTTTCAAGGGGCATTTTTTGAGACACGGTGACAAAACGGCCCTGCCGTTTCTGGGGCCCACAAATTACCAGCCTGGAACATACCCCGATCCTTCTGCTGGGCATCTCTTCACCACGATGCCAATCTTAGGGATTCCCTGATTCTTTGAGGGCGCATCCCTAAGATTGTCATCGCCTTGTGGCGTGTCAATCTTAGGGGTAGGCATAAGTTCGAGGCTGGTGATTGCCTGGCCTGCGCACTCGCACGGTGCTCTGCCGGCTTGGCCCCCCGGCGGGCGCATGCCTGCCACGCACGGGACAGACCGAGAGACGGACGCGCAAAAGAGTGCCCGCCGAGGGGCGCGGCCTGCCGTGCCGGCGCGGGTGGGCCAGCGCCCTCGTCGAATGCGGCCGAGGCGGAAGCGTCGGGGGGGGGGGGATGGCGCAGTGCGAGGTGCACGGCTTCCACGGTTCGGAGGCAACTATTGGGAGGTCTTCGTCGGAAGGGTTCAGGAGGATTGAGCTCCATCGGGGGGCTGCTGCGCCGGAGTGGGCCTCGGATTTACGCGGGATCCAGCCCGGTTAAGCAGGGGCAAGCGGGGTGGACGCGTCGGGGGGGGGATGCCGTGTCAACCTTAGGGATAGAATAAGTTCGAGGCTGGCCCACAAAGATTCTGATGTTCTAGGCCTCCCAGATGGGGTCGGAGCTGATGGGGTCGGAGGATCGCGCCGCATCGCCGATGCATCGCCGATGCAGCTCGATGTGGCGCCCCATTTCCTCCACGTCGACGTCGCCGATGCATCGCCCACGTCGACGCCTCATCGCCGGTGCATCGCCGATGCATCGCCGATGCATCGCCGATGCATCGCCGATGTATCGCCGATGCGGCGCGGTCCTCCGACCCCATCTACTCCGACCCCATCTAGGAGCCCTCTAGATGTTCGGCCCCGGTTTCCCTCCCGCCCGATGCGGCGCGGGGCCGCCTCGCTGTGACCGCCGGCTAGCACAGGGATCCCAGATCGGAGCGCGGGGGGAGCGCGCTTCGGAGGTGCAGCGAAAGGAGGGGCAGCACAGAGGCAGCTCGAGTGAGAGCGTCGTCGTCGTCGTCGCCGTCACCGTCGTCGTCGTCGTCGTCGCCGTCACCGTCGTCGTTTTCGTCGTCGTCGTCGCCGCGTCGTTTTTGGCGTCGCCGTCGCCGTCGCCGTCGCCGTCGCCGTCGCCGTCGTCGTCGTCGTCGTCGTCGTCGTCGTCGCGGCCAGCGCCGCGGCCGCCGCCCCTCGGCGGCGGCGCGCCCGGGCCTCCGGGTCGCGGCCATTGAGCCATGGACCCTGTCCCGCGCAGCCGAGCTTCGCAAGTGGCAAGTCTGTTGGAGACGATCAACTTGATCGTTCCTCGCGCCCCCCCCGCCAGGGAGGGGGGCCTAGCGCCAGGCCAGGGGGATCAGCGCGCAGCTCCGAAAGTTCGTGTCCTTGCTATATTTGCTCGTGTCGGAGGCGGACAGAACCCCCAACAGTGGCACGTCGATTAGTGAATTGCCCGTTTTCGGTTCTCGAGAGGGCGCCGCGGCCGTGATTTCCCAGGCTTGCGCCCGCCAGGTTTGGGCCTCGGGTCGTGTGCACTAAACCACGCTTTACTGAAGGGGGGCCTGTCCATCCCCGAGACGATCAAGTCAGGAGGGAAAAAACAAACAGACACAATGAATCGTTGATTCCCCAGAGGATATGGGAAAATATGGGAAGGGGGGAGAAGACACAAACCCAGAACAGATGGGAATAGATGGGGAATCCTTTTACTTGTGTGTATTTATTTGTGTTAAGCTAGAGTTTTTCTCTTCGTGGCCCCCCTCTTTGGGCCGTCTTGGGCGCCTCTTGGGCCGTCTCGGGGCCCTCTTGGGCCCTCTTGGAAGCCTCTTGGCCCGTACTGGGTCGCTCTTGGGGGCCTCTCGGTCCGTCTTGGAGCATCGGATGGCCGAAAAGGCGACAAGGCCAACATACTCCCAACACAATCGTAAACTTTATGGTTTTGGCCTCTCGGGGCCCTCTTGCGAGGCCTCTTGGAGGCCACTTGGTGGCCTCTTGGGCCGTCTTGGGGTCGTCATCGGCGTCTTGGAGCGTTCTTTGGGCGTCTCGGGGGCCTCTTGGGCAGTCTTGGGGGCCCCTTGGGGCACTCTTGGCGCGCTCTGGGGGGCCTGAGAAGCCGCACCCAGGAGGAACACCGTCTCTGAGTAGCAGTTGCCGGGCTGCGGTCGGGCGGCGGTCGGGGTACTTTTCGCCGGGGGACCCCCGCGGGCCGCCCCGCGCGCGCGAACTAGAAATATTGTTCTGGGCCGGCGAATTCGGCCACAGCGCCGTCACGACAGAGCGTCCGTAGTCACGTGGGCTCAAAAAGCTGAGGCACCAAGTCTGCAGCCCAGCTTCGCCAAAACGCTGGGCGAGCCGGATGCCATAGTCACGAGCTCGAAGAGCGCTCAGCATTCAACAAACATCGCCATCGCCATCGTCATCGTGATCGGGCAAGGGTCGGGGTGACCCACAAAGGGGTCCAGCGACAAGGGGATGGTGCAATAGGTTTGTTGCAACAGATCTGTGGGATTGCAGTACAGTTGGGGCGTGCTATACATTTCGGGGCGCAAATGCATTGCTGGATGTTCGCGTGCAGTACACTACGTGCAATACAATGCAATCCAAGTCTCCGGCGCAATACATTTGCAAAACAATTGCCCCAACTCTAATTATTCCACCACCCCCTTTCAGCTGGACCCTTTTTTGGGTCGCCCAAAAAGGAGCCCCCGCACGCTCACTGATGAGCACGAGTCGTTTTCGGACTCTAGCGGCGCTTTTGGCCAACTCGGGGGCGAGTGGGCCCGTGAGCTGTCCGAGCGCAGGGCCGAGCAGTCCAGCCAGAAACCCCTTCCGGCCCCCAGGTCCACCGCCTGCGTGAGCAGATCTGGGCGGCGGACAAGCGGAAGGAGGCAACAAAGAGAGCAGCTCGAAGTGTTGGGAGTCACAGCTCCGTGACTTGCGGTGGGGCCAGGGAAAGGCCACCACCAGTGTGGGCTCCACCCAAACCGAGATCGTGGCTTTGAAAGCCCAGCGCACCGAGGTCGCCGCTCACTTCCCTCAGCCACCGCCACGACGTCGTTGGACAGCAACCTGCCTGGGTTCCATGTGTCAGCTGCTCATGTGGCGCGGACCATGGGCTTCTTTGGGGCAGGGGGGGACATTTGCAGGAGCTGCTCGGCGCCGTCTCCCGCGCGCGCGAGGCAGGTGCGCTGGCCCGAGCAAGTGGTGACGGACGAACAAACTCACCCATGCCCATAGCGGGGCTGTGGGCGCGCGTTGTCTGATGGGGGGTCCCCGCTCGAACGGGAGCGCCCCCCAGGGGCCCGACAACCCGCACCCGTGCCCATGGCCAGTCCTCCCCCCCCTGACCTCCCAACGGGTATGGGCACGTGCTGCTCGCTTGTCGAGAAGGCTGCTTTCGAGCGGGCCGGGGCCGCAGCTGCCTCTGGCCTGCGAGCCGGGCCCCGCTGGCGGCGGCAGCGGCGCTCGAAGGCCCAGCCCGGGGCGCCAGCCAGCAGCGAGCGCCCCCGCGCCGATCCCCCGGCAGCTCAGGCGGCTTCTCTGTGTTTCGCGAGGCGCGGCGAGGCGCGACCCCTGCGCCCCAACCGTGGCACCTTCCGCCTGCGGCGTTCGGCGGCGAGCCTTTGGGGGGAATGGGGAAGGGGTGGTGCTTCTCAGAAGGCTCGCGAGTCCCCTGGCCTTCCAGGAAGTTCCTTAGGCCGTCCCCGAAGACACAGGAAATTTCCCAGAAAGCTGGAGCGCTTCTCAGAGGTCCCGCCGCCTTCTGAAAAAGGCCTTCTCCCCCTCACTCCTCCCCTTCGCTCGACGCCAGAGGGTGGTAATGGCACGTGTCTTCTTCTGAGCTGTTCGTCTTCCTCTTCGACTTCTCTGGGGCTCACGTCGGCCATTGACGACCATGCGCCAGACGGCGACGATGAGCGCGGGGCGTTAGCTAATGGGGTGATGTCCGGAGCTTCGCGAAGCTCGTCACAGTGGGCGCGTCGGTTGACGCGGCCGTGCTTCCCGCGTGCCGTCGTGGCGCCGAGGCTCGGCAGCGCAGGCACGGGCCCAGCCCACAAAGAGGCCAACCGTCCTTCTAATGCGCACGCCAGTGGCCGCGGTAGCGGTGTCGCCACGCCTCCCCCTCCTCCTCCCTCTTGCTCCTCCTCCTCCTCCCCTCCGCCTCCTCCGCCTCCTCCTCCTCCTCCTCCTCCTCCTCCTCCTCCTCCTCCTCCTCCTCCCCTCCCCTCCCCCTCCTCCTCCCCCTCCTCCCCCTCCTCCTCCTCCTCCTCCTCCTCCTCCCCTCCTCCTCCCCCTCCCCCTCCTCCTCCTCCTCCTCCTCCTCCTCCTCCTCACCTCCCTCCTCCTACTCCTCACTCCTACTCCTACTCCTACTCCTACTCCGCCCCCGCCGCGTCCCCGCCTCCCCCCGCCCCCCCATCCTCCTCCCCCTCCTCCTCCTCCTCCTCCTCCTCCTCCTCCGCCTCCGCCTTCTCCTCCTCCTCCTCCTCCTCCTCCTCCTCCTCCTCCTCCTCCTCATCCTCATCCTCATCCTCCTCTTCCTCCTCCCGATCGCGTCGCGAACGAACGCATGACGCGAGTTTTTTGCTGTTGTTGCCATTTTCGGCCCTGGTGGGGCCCTCGGCGGGCCTCGGGGCCGCCAGAGAACGGCTCGGGACGAGAAGCCGGTCCCGGAGAGAGAGAGAGAGAGAGAGAGAGAGAAAGAGTTCCAGAGACGCCGTCCGGGAGGAATCGGGACGCCGCATGCCTGGGAGCAGCAGGTGCCTGCGGGCACACCCTCGTCGCGTGTGCCGGCTTTGTGAGGCCCGGTTCCCGGCATGTCTTGCACGGCCGCCCAGCTCTTCCCGTATCGTCTTTCTGTTGTTTCCCCCCTCCTCCGCTTTCCTGCCTCCACGTCTCTCCTCCTCCTCCTCCTCCTCCTCCTTTCTCCGCCCTGCCTCTTCCTCCTTCCGCCCTTGGTCCATCCCTACCCCTCCCCAGCTTCTCAAGGACGACCCGTTCCTCAATAACGAGGGTTCAGCCACGCCCGCCGAGGCGCTGGCGGCGCCGAGGTTCGAGCCCCCGCCCGACGGTGCGCAGAGCGAGTCGGTGCTGCGGGGCAGCGTTAAGGGGGAGTAGACTCAGGGGGGCACGCATCGACCCGCAGTTCGGGGCGATCGAGGTGGGTGCGGAAAGAACAGGTACAATGCCCAAGAGCATGTCCTGTTGATTTTGAACAGGACTCGCTGTCCGCGCCGCCGCGGAAGTTGTTGTTGGAAGACAACAAGCCGCTCGCTCAACAGCTGCCGCTGCCAGTTTTGGACAACACTTGTTGCTCGGAATTATACCTATTTTGTCCGTTCCCATTTCGGGCGTCCAGAGCAGTCGTCAGCTTTCGGCCAGTTTGGAGCGTCCATTCCCACCCCCCGTTTCTGGGGGCACATCTCCGAGACTGGCATTATGATGTTCCAACCTACTTTATCCTTGACCACCGGAAAGAGTTTCGAGCGCCAGAAAAACAGGTACCGAAATTCGAGGATGCTCACGTGTCGGGCACTGGGAGACACTCGTCCGACACTGCTCCGACAGTCTTTCGACACTCTTTCGACATTTTCCTGGGTGCTCGGAATTATTGTTGGGATGTGGTCCAGCACGATGGGAGCAACATAAGTCGGCAACGCGCAGAGGGGGGGAGGGGAGGGGGGAAGGCTTCTTGGAAGCACCCATGCTTCTTAGAAGGTGCGGGCCTTCTCTATAGACGTGAGGCCGAGGCCTTCTGAGAAGCAGGGTACTCCTGAGAAGCCCTCCCCCCTCCCCCTACCCCCTGTTGCGCGCCGCCAAATACTTGGCATCGCTCGGACGTGTGCATTTTTCCGTCGGCGAGGACCATCGAGGAGCATCCTTGACCATTTGGCGAAAGAGCCACGCGCGAAACCGACAAAAAAAAACAGAGGGAATGGACGTCCGAGCGATGGCCAGAATAGGACTGGCATCGCCTGGGGGGGGCTCGCCGACCTTGGCGACAGTGACACGTCGATCAGTGAATTGTCCGTCTTCGGTTCTCGACTCGAGAGGGCGCCGCGGCACGCCATTTTCCAGGCCTGCGCCCGCCAGGCTTGGGCCTCGGGTCGCTTTCACGAAACCACGTCTTGCTGAAGGGAGGTCTGTCCATCCCCGATTAAGACGGGCATCGCTTGGGGGGCTCGCCGACCTTGGCGAGGGGGGGGGGGGGCACCTCGCGCCCGGTGCAGCCGCCGCCGGTCGGGGCCCCCCCGAGGCCCGCCCCGCCCACGAGAGCGTGCCGGAGCGCCACGGGCAGCGCGGGGGGGCCCAGCGCCGAGCTCCTCGGCGAGGTGCTGCCGACGCCGGCCGTGCCCGCCCAGAGAAGCCGCCCTGCCCCCCCCCTGCGGGGGCGGCAAAGAGGGGGGTGAGGACTACACCTTAGGCGATGCTTAAGAAAACTTAAGTGTTCGACCAGAGTCTCGATGATTCTTAATGTTTCAATGTAAATCCTAAGATTTGAATAGGAACGTTGGGTTTTCATTCAAGTTCTGAGACTATGGATTTCTTAACCCATGATTTCTTAAGCATGTCGCAGGGTGTAGGGGGGGGAATCTCATTCAGGAGGGATAGAAGCACACAGACACAATTCATCGGCGATGAACCCCAAAACTATTGGAAGTGGGGGGGAAGACAAGCACCCAGAAAATATAGGAACATATAGGGAATCTGTTTTTTGTGTGTATTTATTTGTGTGTCCTTGGGCCCCTTCAATCATGGCGGGGGCCATGATATTTCCCCAGATTTCATGGCGCCTCTTCTTGTTTCAGTACGTCCCCAGCCGCCCCCCTGGGCCGCGCACATGCCGCCGGCCACGATTTGCACCCCCCCCTCTTGGACACCCCCCTCTTGGCCGCTCCCGACCACTGGCGTTCCTCCCCAGGTGCGCCGGGCGCCCTGGGCGGTCCCGAGGCCAGACACGGACGTGGCGGAGCTGGCGCACTGCAGCAGGCTGCTTGACCCCAAGACTCGAAGAAGGAACAAACAGACATGAGCAGGACACCATCGGAGCTCTGTCAAGGGAGGGAGGACCATCCGGACCGGAGAATCGGCGTTCCTTAAGCAGCCCTGGGCCTTTCCCAAACAGCTCTGCCCTGTTCGATCTCTTCTCTGGGCGCGTTTACTACACGACTTCGCGTGTCGAGGTGGTGATTATGGGGGGGAGTTTTGTTACGTCTACTCTGGGCGGATCTATCAGACCAGCGCTGGACCCCCCTTTGTGCGGTCGCCTCTGGTGCCGCCCCCAGCGCGGCAGGACTCTGTGACGACTTGTGGCCGGTGTTTGACGCGTTTGAAGAATCTTTGACAATTCATTTTAAAATTTTAGATTCTTGAGCCGAGCATCTGGTCATGCTGCGTTCGCTGAGAAAGGTTCAGGCACCCGCTGCAGCATCACTACCGAAGCCTTTGCGGGAACCGACCTCAAAAAGATCATACAGTCGGGGCCCTGAAGAAGGAACCCTTTTCGTTGGGGAGGGGCTCCGGGGGTCCTTAATTGTTTCGCAGCTTGCCTTGGATGTTCCTTAGGTTTTCGATGCGAAATCGAAGTTCAACTTATGGAAAATAGGGGCCTCGTTCCTTATTTAGGGTTCCTTAGGTCAACGCCCCGACTGTATTTTTGGAAGGGGGCGCCAGCGTCGATCCAAGAAGCCCGTGCGGGGCTCCGAAGGTTTGCGCTTGTGCAGCGATTTCCTTCTTCCACGGACGCTGCGGAACTGCTCCGCGCCGTGCAGGACGCAGTAGGGTTGAGTCGGGCGAGTTCTTCTCTACAGGAGGAATCTTCAAAAGTAGTGCAAAACTAATATGGGGCCACTCTTTTTCTTCCACTCTTTTTATTCCCCAATCAGAGCTTGCCTCTGTAGTGGTCCTAGCGGATTCATATGGTTAGGTTAGGTTTGCCGCCGATTTTCGCCGCACGCCTGGGTGCCCGGGTGCTCGGGGGTGCCCGGGTGCCCGGGGGGTGCCCGGGGGTGCCCGGGTGCCAGGTGGGTGCCCGGGCGTGCCCGGGGGTGCCCTATAGCCCGATAGCCCAATAGCCCTATAGCCCTATAGCCCTACAACTCTATAGCCCTACAGCTCTATAGCCCTATAGCTCAATAGCCCTATAGCCCCCGAGCCCTATAGCCCTGATTGTTTGTTTCTCCGGTCTCATATTATGTTTGCATATGTGTTTGGCTTGTTATTGTTTGACGATTTTCAGTTTCTCTCTCTAGATCCGCCTGTAGGAGGACACGCCCGACCTCACAGCAGGGGCGTGCGCGCGCGCTCCGCGGGCCGCGGGGCAGCGCGGCCGCTGCTCGCGGGGGAATCGGGCCGGGCGAAAGGGGGGGATTGGGAAAGGGGGGGTTACGAAATTTGCTGCATGCAGCTGGTTTCGGCCTCACCGAGGGGCCCATTCCTCGATACATGCCGCCTCCGGCGCCGGGAGGCGCCGGGAAAATCAGCTACGTGAGCTGATTCTCAAACTCCCCCTTTACTATCCCCCCCTTTCGCCCGACCCGAGGGAATCCCCCCGACGAGGCCTCCCGCGGTGCTGCCCCACGCCGCGCGCAGAGTGCAGCGCGCAGAGGCGGCGCTTCGGCGCTGTCGTGAGCCACGGCGGCGCGCGGCCCCCGGTGAGCGCCCCGCGGGGCGCCTCCTCCCCCTGCTGCTGCTGCTCCTCCTCCTCCTCCTCCTCCTCCTCCTCCTCCTCCTCCTCCTCCTCCTCCTCGTTTTCCTCCTGCTCCTCCTCCTCCTCCTCCTCCTCCTCCTCCCTGTCCCAGGGCGTTGGGGGTCTGGGGAGGGCGAGCAGGTGAAGGGGGAGTCAGCAGGAGAACGAACAATGACATAAACATAGAAACTCGGAGGTCGGCGCGGATTTCTCGTATCGGCGTTGGACCCCCCTCCTTGGCGCGCGGAGCGCGCCAGGGGCGGCGCCGGAGGCGCCGCCAGGGGGCTCCAGCTTGGTGGTGGTGGTGCTCGGCATCGCTCGGACGTGTGCTTTTTCTCCCTGGCGAGGACCATCGAGGAGCATCCTTGATCATTTGGCGAAAGAACCACGCACGAAACCGAAAAGAGCACACGGAATGGACGTCCGAGCGATGGCGAGGGTGGTGGTGGTGGTGGTGGTGGTGGTGGTGGTGGTGGTGGTGGTGGTGGCGGTGGTGGTGGTGGTGGTGGTGGTTGGTGGTGGTGGTGGTGTATCTTCTCCGTGCCCGCAAGTTTCTCCGGTGCTGCCGCGCGCCGGGCTGTTGCAGGCCTCCCGGCCGGGGTCCGAGCGGGGATGGGCTCGGAGGACCGCGCCGCATCGCCGGACGCGCCGGCGGTTCGGCCCGATGTGGAGCCGGATGTGCGGGCAGCACTTATATCCATATCCAGGGCGTCTTGGACTGTTTGGGAAGAGGTGCCGCAACGCCACGGCGCACTGGATATGGATAACATCAAGCCTCTTGGGGCCAGACTTTTATCCACATCCAGTGCGTCCCCCGTTTCTGGGGAGGAGAGCCCAAGACTCCAAGACGCACTTGATGTGGGTATAGTTAACTACTGCCCGCGCGATGCTCTCCGCGCCGACGGCGCCGCTGCGTCGCGTACATCGCCGACGCCTCGGCGATGCATCGGCGGTGCAGCGCGATGACCCCTGCCACATCTGCTCGGAGCCCATGTGGGAGGCCTCGGCAGAATGCAGAGTAGGACTGCGCGCCACTGCCGTAGGGTGCGGGGGCGCGCTGTGCCACGATGGTCTTGTTCCGGCGGGCCGCGCGGGCTCCTCTTTGAGCCCGCGCGAGCCGAATCTTCCCGCAGCTTTTCCTCACTCTGCGCTCCCTGCGGCCTGCCCCCGCTGCCCGTGCTGGTGCTGCTCCGCGCACGTGCCCGGGCTCTTCCTCCACGTCCTCCTCCCTGGCCGGGTCGCCATCTGGCCTTCCTCGGCCTCTTCCCCTCCTGCCTTGACTTCCTCCAGGCTCTTTATCCACACCCCCGCCTCCTCCTCCTCCTCCGCCTCCTCCTCCCCCTCCTCCTCCTTCGCTACATTTCGTTCCCCTCACCGTGAGGGGGAGTGGGAGGAGGAGGAGGAGCGGGGGCAGCTAGTAATCGGCCGATACCGAGCGATCTGATCTATCGGATCGCCGCGATTGCTCAAGGTCGAAAGATGGGATGTACGCGGTGTCACAAACCTGCACTGCCGTGGGGGAGGGGAGGGAGGGAGGTGGGCTCTTCCTCTGCCTTGCCCGCCCGTCCCCCATGATCTGCTCCATCACCCGACGTGTCTTCAGGAGGGAGAGGAGGGAGGAGGAGTGAGGGAGGGAGGGAGGGAGGGAGGGAGGAGTGAGGGAGGGAGGGAGGGAGGGAGGAGGGGGGAGGGAGGGAGGGAGGAGTGAGGGAGGGAGGAGGGGAGGGAGGGAGGGAGGAGGGAGGAGTGAGGGAGGGAGGGAGGGAGGGAGGGAGGAGTGAGGGAGGGAGGGAAGGAGTACCACCCTCCTGCCCTCCCTCTTGTCCCTCGCGCTCCGCCGCCCCCCCGGTCGGCCCTTCTTGGGAGGGGGGGCGAGCAAGGAGGTGGGGAGGGAAGCGGCGGAGGAAGGTTTTCTCCTGCCTCGAAGCTTCCTCCCGCGCCTCCTCCCGGAGTTCGCCAGGTGGTGTTGGTCATGCTGTTTGTTTTTTCCCAACCCTCCTTGGTTGGGTATTCGTTTTGAATAGAGCAGTGTGGTCGCGTCCTTCCTCCTCCCGCCTCCCGCCTCTTTCCTGCCTCTTTCTGTCTTGCCTGCGGGGGGCTGTGAAACTGTCGCCAGTTTCGAGGCCTGCTGGGGGGTCCAGCATAGAGGGTAATCGCGGCAGATCCAAATTAGACCTCGCCATTCCTGGGGGGCTGCGATCTGTGAAACTGTCGCCACTTTCGAGGCCTGCTGGGGGGCTCAGCATAGAGGGTAATCGCGGCAGATTCAAATTAGACCTCGCCATCCCTGGGGGGGGGGGGCTGCGATCTGTGAAACTGTCGCCACTTTCGAGGCCTGCTGGGGGGTCCAGCATAGAGGGTAATCGCGGCAGATCCAAATTAGACCTCGCCCTCCCTGGGGGGCTGCGATCTGTGAAACTGTCGCCACTTTCGAGGCCTGCTGGGGGGCCCAGCACAGTGAGGGCCACGCGCGGATTCAAATTAGACCTCGCCATCCCTGGGGGGCTGCGATCTGCGAAACTGCCGCCATTTTCGAGGCCTGCTGGGGGGCCCAGCACAGTGAGGGCCACGGGCAGATTCAAATGAGACCTCGCCGTCCCTGCGGGGCTGCGATCTGTGAACCTGTCGCCACTTTCGAGGCCTGCTGTGATCCCCGTTTTCGAAGTGGCTAGGAGTGCTCAGGAATTGTAAATCATCAGCTTTATCAAGCCCTTTTCCTGTAGCCAGTGTCCTGCGAGTCTCAGAAAATTCCGTCTGCAGACATATGTAACCCTCTCTCCGTCATCGCCCCCTTATAAAGTATCCTAAACTATTTGCGCCCCGCTTTTGCGCAGGGGTTGGGTACGTCGCCAGGGTAATTGTTTGTGAACTGTTCATTTGTATGGGGGGGCATCGACGGCATCGAAGTTCAACCTGGCACTGCCCGCAGCACCGGAGCGCGAAGAAGGAGGGAGGAGCATGTAAGGAGGAGGAGGAGGAGGAGGAGGAGGAGGAGGAGGAGGAGGAGGAGGAGGAGGAGGGAGGAGGAGGAGAGGTAGGGAGGGAAGAGGGAGGAGGGAGGGAGGGAAGAGGGAGGGAGGGAGGGAAGGAGAGAGGGAGGCAGGCAGGCAGGCAGGCGGGCAGACAGGCAGGCAGAGAGGGAGGCAGGGAGGCAGGGAGGCAGGGAGGCAGGGAGGCAGGGAGGCAGGAGCAAAAGCAGCAGCAGCAGCAAGCGCAGCAGCAGCAACAGCAGGGCAAGGGAGAGAGGGAGGTAAGAGTAGGATGGAAAGAGGGAGGATGATGTAAGGAGGAGGAGGAAGACCAGATTCGGGTCGGTTCATTCGGCCGCGCATGCGCGAGTCGCGCTCGCAAGTGTCGGGCGAGCGCAGCACCCATTTGAGCACGACAGTCGAACACGCCCTTACAAAGGAGGTGTGAGGAGGCTTGGGTGAAGGCAGAGCGATGGGGCAGGAGGTGGAGGGGCAGGAGGAGGAGGAGGAGGAGGAGGAGGAGGAGCAGGAGGAGCAGGAGGAGCAGGAGAAAAACGAGGAGGAAGAGGAGGAGGAGAAGGAGGAGGAGTATGAGGAGAAGGAGAAGGAGGAGGGAGGAGGAGGAGGAGGAGGAGGGAGGAACGAGGAGGAGCAGGAGGAGAGGAGAGGAAGAGGAGGAGAGGATGACTGAGGAGGTGGAGGAGGAGGAGGAGGAGGAGGAGGAGGAGGATGACTGAGGAGGAGGAGGAAGAGGAGGAGGAGGAGGAGGAGGAGGAGGAGGAGGAGGCTATGGAGGAGGAGGGAGGAGGAGGAGGAGGATGCAACCTGACCGCGGCCGGCGCCCGAAAGACGTCCTTCCGGCTGTCGCCGTCGCGGTGCCCGTGCAGCAGCGCGCCTTGCGGGCCGCAGAGGAGGCGGTCCTCCGAGGGGGCGCCATGCCCTTGTCCGCCTTCCTCGCCTGCGGCCACTGGCCTTACGTCGGACATGTGCTCCTACAGGGGGATTTTCGATGAAAAATACAAGATACCCCAAAAATAGTCGAAACATAATCCAGAAATAGTCAGGGGACTATTTTTGAGAATTGTTTGACCTTGCTGGGGTATTTTGTAGGGTATGTTGTATATTTTTCGTCGACAATCCCCCTGTAGGGGGACACGCCCGACATTACTTAAGGACCACGTCCCAGAAGTAATGTCGAGCACCCCGAAGAGTGTCGAAAGAGTGTCGAAGCAGTGTCGGACGAGTGTCTCCCAGGGCCCGACACGCGAAATCCCTAAGAGTTTCGGTGCTTCTCTTCTGGTGCTCGAACTTATGTCTGGTGATCCAGGCCAAAGCAGGCTGGAACATCCTAAACGTCGTGGCTTTCTTCTTGCTCTGCTTGCCCCTGGGCATCCTGCCGCAGCCCAGGCCCAGCGCTGCAGGCGAGGAGCTCCCCATCTTGGCAGCCTGAGCGATCCTCTGCTCCATGCCCTCGCGCAGGAAGCCGTGCCCGAAGGTCTGCAGCTGCCCCCGCGTCCGTGCTCGAAAACTGGCCTCGGCCGCCGCAGCTGCCACTGGCGGTGCCTGGCCCCTCGCTCGGTGCCCCTGACGGGCCAGCCCGCCTCGACCTGGCGTCGGCGCCACCCAAACGTACTCAACCCACATGTGCGTCGCCCCACTGGGGGCGATGCGCGCACCGAGAAGTCTCACAGTATCCGCGCCGTGGCGGGCGCTCTCTGGCCACACCGCTCGGGAAACGAGATTGCTACAGGATGGGTGTACTGTGTGTTCGGATCGGACGCGCGCCTCCAAGGAGAACGTACGGCAGGTTCGCGTCGTGTCGACCGGCGGCGACCCCGCCAGCGGCGTTCAACTTTGAACGCCGCGGGCGACCCATATTCGTTCTATGTGGAACGATTTGGACGCTTCGGAAACGGCCGATCGTTGAAGGTTGAACGATCCCCGCAGTGTCAGAGACCAACGTCGGGGTCGACACGACGCGAACCAGCCGTATAGTACCAGTATGTTTTTTTTTCTGCGTCCCGTGGCGCACCGGCGAGTGCCCGAAGGAGCACCCGGGACGCACCGCTGTCCATCGGGCCGCCGTCCCCTGCCAGCCCGGGGCGGCCGCGCTCCTCTCAAGGTGCGCCGCCCGCAGAGGCCTCCTCTGGGCAGGAACCAGGCTAGGAGGAGGAGGAGGAGGAGGAGGAGGAGGAGGAGGAGGACAGGAGGAGGAGGAGGACTGAGGAGGAGGAGGAGGAGGAGGAGGAGGAGGAGGAGGACTGAGGAGGAGGACTGAGGAGGAGGAGGAGGAGGAGGAGGAGGACTGAGGAGGAGGAGGAAAGGGAAGAAGCAGGGAGGCGGAGGAGGAGGAGGAGGAGGAGGAGGACCAGTGGTAACTCCAGAGTCGTCCAAGATGTTGGAATGGACCCTCCCTCCAAGCTCCCTCTTCATAGGCCCCTACAACGGTTCATTTCCACTGAGGTAACTGCCTCGTTGGAAGACAACCGTTTGAAGATCCTGAAGCATGCCGAAACATTGTTCTCGGGATTTCAACACCACGGATCAACTGGACTGCTCCGTCTTGACGATCCGGGATCGTGCCAGAACGCCATTGTTGTGACTTCAACACCGCGAAGCAACATGACTGTTATTCTTCCACCAAAACACCATTTCTGGTACGGTGACCATGGGAATCCGTGAAAGTCTTGTAAGTTGTATGAACGAATGTGCGCGGCGTTAGGGTGAGAGCCACAT